CGTGGGAGGGAGAATGGAATTGTCAAGGGTGGTACTTCGTTCATTGGCTTTTGCTTAGGATTAAAATGCTGGTCGGAAATTAGTCTGATGGGATGATTCCCAGTCCACCATGCTGTTGACCTCAACTATTTCTAGTCAGTTGTTTTTGGTAAATAAGCATATTTAAGAAAAATTATTTTCTCTTATCATACCAGTTGGATTATCGTTTTAAGTAAGCGGTGATAAATTTAGTAACATTAGTGATTTGTAAGTCAGTGGTCTATAACTTACACTTTTTTCTGTGCTTTCAAACATAATATACAATTTTTGTGTGACTTCAGCGGGGAACAAAGGCTTTGGCACCTTAAATTTTCAAAAACTGTCCAATCGTGCTGCTTTGTTTTTGAAAGAAGTTTGAATGATACTCTATTTTACGAAACTTGCTGTTCTGAATCAGAGATTTTCCATGTGGGGAAGTTGGAAGAAGCCTTTTATCTTGTGTTTGAGTGTTGCAGGCATAATAACTGCCCCTTGTTCAGACAAGTAGCTGTTGTTTTTATTTTTAGACAAGATTATGCACTTTTTAAACTGGATTTTGGGCAAATAGACATAACCACTAGGTTACGTACTCTGGGTCCAGGGTGTGACTCAGTGGTGGAGTTCTTGCCTGGCATGCATGAGGCGCTGGGGGAAATAACATCTAAAATAGAGCTCACTAGTGGATTTTCCAGAGAACGAATAAGTGTTGATTTTGTCACATGCTCCTTAGATTCTCACTCATTTTTTTTTAACGAATCTGAAATAATATGCTAAGGTAAATAAATAATATGCTAAGGTAAAGTTGGACTTGGCTCCCTTTCATCTTGTACCAGGTTCTGTTTCCTGCTGCTTATCAGAAATAGCTGCTGCTGTGAATTAGGTTTGTATCGAGGGGGAGAAGGATGTAAGTTTGATATGAAAAATGGTTTTGTACTCTCAGATTCTTTTCAGCTTTACTCTTTTCACTCATTTTATTGAGTTATCCATGTTGCTCCATTTATCAGTTTCTGTCATTTTAATAATAATTTATAATTTTTTCATCTGGTGATGGACATCTGGGTTGTTTCCAGCTATAAATAGGGAATTGCAGGGACCGTACGCATGTTTACTTCCTTTTGTGCACGTGTGAGTTACTTTAGGTTAATGAATATACTTACTTGCAGTTTTGCTGGGTTTTATCTAAATGCTCTTACAGATTTCTTCCAGAGGCATGTTTCCATTTCCCCATATTACTTAGCTACTCACTTTTAGAATTCTTCTCATTTTTAAAATGTCTGTCACAAGGATGAATTCAGTGCCTTCTGTTCCTGTGTGTAGATGAGAGCTAGATGGATGTATTCATCTAGTAGGTGTTCATCACGACTCTGTTGTTAATTTCCATTAGGGGGTTTCAGAATTTGCAAGTCACATCTCACATTGGCAGTTGTGAGAAGCCTGTCATGTCTCCGTCTCTTTAACATCCTTAAACTGCCACTATTCATGATCATTCCTGGAAAGAGTGGAATGACTTCCCATAACAAACTGCCCCCTGTAGGCACCACACTGCCCAGACCCACATGCTCATGTGTGCTCGTGTGGTGGAAACGTGCAGATTGTGATAGGCGCTCCTCAAGTTTTGCTCTTAACTTTTGTCACCCTGTGGCCCTTTTAATAAGCTAGAAACCTTATTTTCCAATCTCCATTGCAGCCTCTGATATGCTGCCACTTACTGCTTTGTCTACAGCATCATTGGAGCCGCATTGAAAAAAACAATTAACACTCTGGGCAACGATTGAAAGGGAACACATACAAATGAAAACGAAGGGATTGGCATTGAAAGTGGCTTTTTTCTTTTAGAATCATTTTGTGAAATTTAAAAATGGTCTGAGAGAACAGATAAGAAAGTTGTGATAAAATGAGTACAACATTTGGAAATAGCCAAATTGATGTAAAAAGCATATTTTTGCATTTACTCAAATGCAACCGAAAGAACATTTTATATCAATAATGACAGTTTGAATTTTGTGGTTTAGAAACAAATGTATATAACGGTGTTTGGTTTGTGAACTCACGAGGTTGATTTTTCTGTTAACTTTTTCTTTCGTTTGGGTTTTTGTCCCTGTCTGCCGCAGCCCGGCTGGCTGGGCAAAATAACCGGGGGGTGACGAGCAACTTGTGTGCATTGATACAGCAGGAGTGGGAGCCGTCTATTGTAGGACAGGAGGGGTATATATATACATTACACACAGTTTATCTTAATTAGCATAAACTAGATACAGCAGTCAACCAATAAGGAATCTCCACACTTAATGGCTCGCTGGCCTTACTTCACAAACCACTCCCTCTGCAAAATGCCAGGCGCCATCCTGACTTGTTCACAGACCCTAACACCTGTCTTTGGAGACAGGCCACTACTCGGAAGGGTCACCAGGTTCATGCTCTGTTTCTCTTCTCTTCTCACCTTGGTCAAAATAAACTTCTCAGAGAATTGTGGCCATCAATCATGTTAAAATGATCTTGGGTTCAGAAGGTAGTGTCAAGTGTTTCTACTTGGACCTGCACCTAAGTCCAGTTGGGCTGCTACAACAAAACACCTCAGACGGGGTGATTTATCACCAGCGTAAATTCATCGCTCACAGGTCTGGAGGTTGGGAATCTAAGATCACGGTGTGGGCAGATTCCATGTGTAATACGGGCTCCCTTCGACTTCAGAGATGATGCCCCTGGTTGAGTCTTCCCTTGCAGAAGGAATGAAGATGCCCCTCTTCTTCTTTATTCACAAGGACATTAACACCTCCTCCCTCAGGACCCAATGGACTCCCAAAGGCGCATCTCTTAATACCAAGAAAACCCCAACTTTAACGAAAGATGACTCAGTTATAGGGGTTTGTTCAGAAGTCAGTTGGGTCACATGGGTCGGTACTTAAGAGGCCACATTTTCTAACCCCAAGGAGATGTAGCATTCAGGAGTGGGACAGGAAGACGCAGCATGAGGGGAGGCTGCCCTCCCGTGTCATGCCGGAGTGAGCCGGAGGCTGCACGCCCTGCACGCAGCCTCCGTGGCCTGGGAATGTGGTGGTCGGCCAGGTGCTGTACATAGGAGAAAAAAAATGTGCTTAGGAAAGTCTTCCAAGAAATAGCTCCGATTTTGTCTCTTTTCCACCAAATCTTCAGCTTTGCATTCAGGATTTTTTTTTTTTTTTTGTATTGGTGATTTAACCCAGAAGCCTTTACCACTGAACTGCATCCCTGGGCCTTTTTATTATTTTGAGACGGGATCCCCTTACACTGCTAGGGCCTTGCTAAGTTGCTGAGGCTGGCCTTGAACTTATGATCCTCCTGTCTCAGGCTCCCCAGTTGCTGCATTATAGGCATGCGCCACCATGCCAGCTGTGGTCAGGTTTTTTTGTTTGTTTGTTTGTTTGTAAGGAACTATATTAGTAATCAAATGTAGAGGAAAGATATAGTTTCTTTGTGTCTGTATGGAAGAGTAGACCAAATTGAAATAAAATATCTACGTTATTCTAGTTTTATATTCAATGTGCATTTAGAGTGTTTATTATCATTATTTCCCACAATGAACATGAATTAGCTTTCTTTTGCTAACCATAGTTAAAAATACATTTAATTATTTGATTAAAACACATTTTAAGCAATTAAGATTACATTAAAACTCTAAGATGGGGTCATGGAACAACTCGGAGGTCAGCCGAGCTRAGGAAATGTTTCTGGATCTGCAGAGAAGACCTTGGAAATGTGGCTGCTCCTCAGGGAACAGCTTTGCTTCCGCGGAACTCTCTCACTTGCCCCTGGGCAGGAGGGATGGCTCAGCTCCTCTGGGTGAATGTGGCTCATGATGGCTGTCTTCGGTCATGGCAGACTTCTTGGCTTCTTTTACTGTTTGACCTTGGCTCTTGTTGGCTTGAGTCCTGCTTGTCTTTGTCCCTGTCCTTGGTCTCTGCGTCTAGAGTTGGTGTGTTTCATTCTGCCTGCTCATCTCTCTCCCTCCTCCTCCCTCTCTCCTTGATGTTTGGGGTGGGTTCTCGTTCCTTAAGACTTTTTACCCTCTCTAGTGAGCATCTTTTGCATGACATGTTAGGCAGACTGGACAGAGACTGGAGCAGATTCCCTAAGTGTGACATTCTTTCTAAGAGCGACCTCCTGCTGAGTTTCCCCTAAGCTGCTCTTAAGTGTGCGCTTGTTTTTATGAAGATACTGTAGTTCTAAAGTGACCCCTCTTGACTTTTGATTGACTCTTGACTATTCTTGTCATCTGAAGTCGGAGAGATGGAAACCCAATTCCTCTTTCTAAACCCTGTGGATTCAATAGGAAAATGAATCAATGTGACTTTAATCCAATCATGGTTCGTCCCATTATGAGGGTCATTGAATGAGATGATATTTTAAGTCAATTACTGTTAGGGTTTGGATATGAGGTGTCCCCCAGAAGCTTCTAGGAGAATGCAGGGATGTTCAGAGGGACACTGAGTGGATTGTGAGAGCTGTGACCTCACAATCCCAGGCTGTGCGCAATAGACATCTTCTACTGGTGCGTCGTTGCTGAGGTTGCATTGTGGGGTGCATACTGCAGCATTTGTGAGCGCAGGGCAACCTGGACAGTGTCCTGCGTTCTCTGCTGGTTCTTGACCCTGCGTCACCSGGTGTTACTGGTAGAGCATCGTGTGTGCTTTCTTGCTGCAGTGAATTCTGTGCTGCTTTTGGGGGACCGTTCAGTGAGGATCTGCTGACCAGGGGCAGGACTAAGCAGTTGCTGCACTGCTAGTGTTGTTTGTTAGTCACAGTACTCCATGAAGTCGTTACTGGGACCCCCACTCTGCTGGTGAGGATGCCGAGGCACAGAGGCTAAGACCTGAGCACARCAGCACAGGCGTTGGCTTTCACAGTGTGCTGGGTGAGGTGTGTGACGGGAGGTGCTGCTGGGCCCCCTGCTCTCCCTGCCCTGGACCCTTGTGCGCTGCTCATCCTTCCATTTCTACCTGCAGCAAGGATTATTCAGAGAAAAAGTGAAGTTCAACAGTGGCCCCCCTTCATTCTCTACCACAAGTATCCTCCTTCAGACAGCAAGTGTGCACTGCAGGTGCGTGGAAAGTGGTGAAGAATGCACACCTGGAATCACACGGCAGATTTCCCAGGCCAACAGCTGAAGCAGTAGAATGAAAACCATGATGATTGCTCTGCCTTGGGGAGACAGCCCCACCTTTGCTAGTGCTCATCATTCTCCTGCATGGAACAGCGAGAAGCTCCTGGCCTGCTCCTTATTGTCTCGTGACCTCTCACGTGGCTCCCACTTTCCCCCTTAAGTATGCAGTAAGCACGTTAGAGCAACAGCCCCTGAAGAAGGTACCGCTGGTGGCACATCACTCCTTGCGACTTGAGTGGAAAAGGCTGCTCTTAAAGGTGACCACGGGAGAGAGTCGTTCCATGGAGCTGCTCCAGGAGCTTCCCCTGGTCATTTTGAACACCATCCGTGGGGGAGAGTCCTTTCCAGCTTTCTCTTTATGGGATCGCCTGTTTTTCAATAGCGTATTTCTTAATAAACACAAACTTGGTTCCTCAAAATCTTACCATTGTGTCTCTAAGAAATGTGCTGGGAACCACGAGGAAATGGACAGCATTCCTTAAGGAAATCGTCTGTGGACGTGTGAGCATATGTGTAAATTTTTTCCTGGAAGTTGAATATTAAAATTAAATGGAAAATCTTTATCATGAAGGGCTTGTGTGATTCATAATGGTTTTTATTTATAGCCATCAAGTACTGGAAATCATGGGGATGTGTCGTCTTTCATATTTATGACGAGAGATAATGCCCATTGGAGTTCAAGTATTAAAGTAGGAGCATCTGTGCTCTCTGAAGCCCAGAGGGGACAGCCTCGCTGGGCTCGCTCTGAGACGGAGAACCCGTTGCAGCAGGCTGTGCGAGAGCCCAGCCATGCTGTCACCTTTTCATGATGTCCTGTGTATACGAGATGGCATTTGATGTGACTGCTGCCTTTACTGCAGGGTCTGGTGGTGTTCCATCTGTGATTTTGTTGTTGTTGTTTCATGTTTTTATTTGATCTTAACACATATACCCCCAAATCCGCCCATCTCAGGTGTGTAGTTTGCTGATTTCCGCAGCCCCGAAGCAGTTTCTGGCACTCAGGAAGACGGATGCTTCTCACTTCCGGGCACCACTAGTGCCACCACTACCCTGACTTCTTGCATTGGAAATAGCAAACGGCCTTGTAGGGATTCTGAAGTTTATTCCAAGAACAATGGGAAATCACCAAAGGCTTTGGGCAGTGAGATGACAACTTATTTACATTTTAAAAATATCTGTAGCCGTGTGGAGAATAAACTGTAGGGGCCCAGGTGTAAGTGGAGGAACCCGATAGAAACCTACTTGACGAAATCACTTGTGGTTGATGTAGCACCGTGGAAGTGGAGGTGGGAGAGAGGAACGCTYAAGGCACCCCGCCATGCGCACACCCATGTGTACGATGTATTTAGAAGGCAAAATAAACTGAATTTAGAAATCAGAGGGGAGCAAGACAGAGGGAGGCATGAACAGTTCCAGGTTATGGAAAAGGTGAAATATACTTAATATGGAAGACGGAAGAGGCTAGCATTCAAGTGAGAAGTTCTGCAGCTTTGGTTTGGACACATTACTGTGAAATGGCCAGGAGATAACAAACAGGTCCCATCGAGGAGGCTGMTGGCTATACTGACATTTAGGAAAGGAATCTCGGCTGGAGATCTCAATTTGGAATTATTGGCATGTATGTTACATTGAGAACCATAATGCCAATGAAATCTCGAGATGGAGTGCAGAGTAAAATCATGGTGATATGTAAGAATGTATGGCATACCAAAAGGCACAAAAAGAGAAAGATTTCAAAATGGCAATAATAGAAGAATGGTCCCTGGTGAGGTGTGACAGCAGGTCATTTGGGCACCTAAACTGGTGATGTGTGGAGCTGAAACCCACCTAGTGAGCCGGCATGGGCTTGGCTGTGACCCACCTGGGCTTGTGCACACAGGTGGGAATCCTCCTTCACTCTGCTGTCACTGTGTTCTACATGGGGACAGTGTTCAGCTGATGGGAAATCAGTGACTTCTGAAGGAAAATGAGCACACTTCAATTTGTGACTTCAGGGTGAGGAAAACAAATTATTTTTTAGCCTATCTACCTACCAGTCCTGTTCACCAAGTCTGTGCCAAATTTCTGTATTCAAATAGCCACACTAGAAACCCAACCTGCCCACTTGATGCACACACACACACATACACACACACTGTTAATGCTGAAAGTCTTAATTTTGATTTCAAAGCTTTTCTGGGATGTTGGTCTTTGAAACACTACCTCCTTTAATCTTGCCAAGCACCCTCATTTGGAGATGTGTTCTTGAATGGAGTGCTGTGGAGTTGGTAAGTGCATGTCCGTTACTTTACTCAGCCTGAGTTCCTTTGAGATTTTATAATTGAACATTASTAATATGCATCATTTTAGAAGTCTGCAGAGATTGGTCTTGATGTTCCTTTTAGCTTTGCTTTTACAGTGCTTCTTACATATTTATTGGAGGAGATGAGATGATTTTCTGCTCCTGTATGCTTTAGTTTGATTGCTTAATCATAATTGTATTTTTCCATATACTTGCACATAGTGACTGAGAAGAAGAGAATTCTGGTCAGGAAAGTGCTGCTGCTGAATAGAAAATGTTTTATTTSAAAGTGCTCAAAACTACCACTAAGGAATGAAAGACTTAGAAACGTGTTTGGAGTTGGGGTTTCTTGCTCTCATCAAGATGAACATAAATCATTTTAGGGTTAGTAATTATAAACCCAAAAAGTGAATATGAAGAAGAGATCCTAGTAATACTGAACAGTTCAGTGCCACAAGAATTTGTTTCCCATATATTTAGCAAATTCCCTGGAGAACCCATTTGGTGTAATTATTTTGAAACTMTGGAATGTGTTGAGGGCTTGCAACTTCTAGGGGGAGGCTTTGATTGTAAGATGTGGTTAATTTTGGCTAATTTTAGTTCTTAGCAGAGTAGCAGCTACTCACCCCCACCCTTTAGCCACGTGGCAGGCAGGCACTTGCAGAAGGAACCTGCATGTAACTCGCAGGAGCAAGAGTGGGCAGCAGGGACTCTGTCCTCTCCTGCTGGAAATTTGTACTTCTGAGTGTGAAGCAGTTTCCAGTTTTCATCCCACACCCTCCTCCCGCTCCACCCGCCAAATCCAACTGAAGTGAGTTCCAGGGAGCTGAGAGAGCCTGTGGCTGTTTTTTTCCCCTTTTATCTCTTCTCCTTATTTGCAAGCCAGATATGGAAGGCCGTTCAACAACCGTGTGCATGCAGGAAATGGGAAAATCACTCCACATGGGCAGAGAAAGGTGCAGCCCCAGAAAATATCTGATAAGATCACCACCTGTGGGTGATCCCTAGCGCAAAGATGGCCACCATACACCCAGGGAAAGACAGGAACCCAGTGTCCAAATGCTGTATGTGGAACCAAAGAACCATGTGTGGAAGGTTTTTCCCCAGGATGGTGCCATCTGGGGGTTGGGAATCTTTACATGTAGGGTCAAGTGGGAGGTGTTCTGGTCCTCAAGGGCATGGGTGACTTTGAAAGGGACTCTGGGACCAGTCATTAGCAACATTTTTGTTAGGTTCTTTTTCAGTATTTCTGTCCCCGTTTTGAATTTCTCATATCTCTGACTTCCTTAGTTCATTCCATTGTTTTTCTCTTGGAATTCATTGATCATTTTTATAATGACTCTTTTGAATTCCTTGTGTGATTCTTCATCCACTTCAATATTTGGGAAGTAATTTGCTGGTGAATTACGAAGTAGATAGTGTTAACTTTCCTTATCATATTCCTTGTATTCGGGTGTTGAGTTTTATGCGTTGTTTAGTTTGCATTTCTGGTCCACTCTTACGTGGGTGCCTTCCTGGGGCTCAGTCTCCAGTGCTGATGTGTCCTAGAGTGATCCGGTTTGAGAGTTCCTTGTAGGTGTAGTGTCCACAGCCTTTGTGTTGTTCCTCTGTTTTTGCTGTAGCAAAGGAATTGTGTAGGTGAAACCCGGGGCCCACTCCTAGCTGTTTCTTCTTGGGGCTGGTCATTACTGTGGGTTTTTGTCACTTCTTTTCTTTATATTAATAGTACTAAAGATTGAGTGTYATTAATTTGTACATGGAGCAAGGCGCAGTTTGGTTGAGTTCAGCAGCAGAGTTTCTACCCTGTGAACTTGTAGTGTCCTTGTAGGTTCACAGCCGCCTACTGAAYAGGGTAAACACTGCAGCAAACAGGGCACAGTATTAAACTAAATTTTGGTTCCCACTGCAACGTGTGCTGTATGTAGCAATATAATACTGCATATTGCCAGGAAAAAAAAAGCAGATTTGGTAAGGTCGGTCAGCAATTGCCAACAGAAAMAAACAAGTTACCATACACTATTTCTGACATTAAAGCAAATAGGTGTCAACTTTGGAATCCACAGCAGTAGTAATTGCAAAGTCATCACTGTGGTGGGGGCAGCAGTTATAAAAACCAACTAGTGCTAATATATGGTAAGAATACAGTTAATTGTGAGAAAATAAAATGATAGGTAAAAAACTTCACCATTTCAAAAAGTGAACAGAGAATGTGGAAGAGATGCAGCTTGTGATGGTTACAAGGAAG